GGGGGCTCAGTCCGCGGCGGCCGGCCTGGGAGGCTGCAGGGCGCCGGAGTCCCTCGGTTGCCCACCGGGTGTCGCTCCGGCGCCAGAGGACCAGGGAGGGGCGGGATCTCGGCCTTCGCGAGGCAAAAGAGCCCCGGGGCTGGCCTGGTCGGAGACGGGCAGAGGTGGGACCCGACAAAGGCAGCCAAAACCGCGCCCAGGAAACCGGGCTCGAATAATCCGTCTCCTCTGAGGAGCTCCTGAAGGCGTTGGGATTGGACTTGGGCTAGGTGGCTAAACATGGTGTAATGTATTCAGCCTGACATGCCCGGACTTGCCCGGGCTGGCCAGGCACAATCCATCTGTAGCTTCAGTCAAAAGACAATGGATCGGAAGGATCCTAGCCGGCCCAATTAAAGGGCTAGCTTCCCAGCTGGGAGACCAATGGTCCCCCCTTACTGTAAATAGCCTATCGGGATTAGGGGTGTGTGTTTAGGTGTACGTGGTGGCGGGTTTTCTGAATGCATATAAACCAGCCTGCAAGCGGGTCAGTTGTATTTTTCCTGAACTAAATAAAGGTATGCTTAGCTGAAATCACTCTCCGCCTGCATACTTTTCACTGGCAGCGAGGATGGGATCCACGACCCCATGAACAAAGACCCGGACGCCAACACGAGCACCGCACCGAGCCCTGACGCCGAGACCTCCGGGAACCGTGCTGCTTCGCATCCCAGCTCTCCGGCAACTGCTCATCGCTCCGCTCCCAGCTCCGCTTTGCACCCTGCTGACCCCGTGAGCAGCAGCGCCCCTCTCAATGCTCCAGACGCCGCCGCCATTCCAGGGGGCCACCCTACCACGAGGCTGCAACACAATGGCGACCCCTCAGAGCAACATCTCTGCTTTTGATATCGCCCGCCCCACCGAATGGGAGGCCTGGCTCGAGATCCTGACGAGCTACTTCAACTGCCAGAAAATTACGGACGACGGGATGAAAAAGGACCATTTCCTCCACTTGTGCGGCATGAGTACGGTCCTACTCCTAAAGGACCTCATCGCCCAAAGAAGACCGCAGAGGAGCCCTACGCGGTGCTGATCCAGGCGCTGACGGACCACCTGGCCCCCAAACCCACTAAATTCGCGGAGCGGATGGAATTCTGTGCGAGGGTACAAGGGCCAGACGAGTCCGCCTACGATTTCCTTGCGGGACTCCAGCGAGCGGCCACAAACTGTGCGTTCCAGAGTCTATCGGACATCCTGCTGACCCAATTCCTGGTGGGCCTGCGAGAGCCCAAACTCCGGCGGAAACTGGTCAGTCAGAACGACCTCGACCTGGACAAGGCGGTCCGGGAGGCCTCCGCCTACGAGACGGCCCATCGAGACCGCCGCGCCAAGGCGGTCCACCACACTCAAGTGAGCAGCGTCTCCGACGCCTCGGACCAGGAGGAAGTCCTACAGCTCCGACAGCGGACCTCGCATCGACCCAAACACACCTCCTCCAGGACCATCAAGGCCTCGTCTCCAAGCCTGTGCACCAGCTGCGGGGAGGACCACGAGCGCAAGTTGTGCCATTTCCGGAACGCGGTCTGCTGTTCCTGCAACAAGGCCGGACACATCGCAAAGGTCTGCCGGTCCAAGGGACAATGCCCGAGATCTGCAACACACCAGACCACTGCGGAACCACCCTTCGAGCTCCACACCGTGTCGTCCCACTTCCCGCAACACCAGGTCTGTAACTTGCCCCCCCGACGGCCCCAACAAAATGCATGTGACGGTCCTCATAGAGGGAGCCCCCTGCACCATGGAG